TCGGCTGAGACAGGCAAAATCCGGCTGTCGGTTTTCGGCGCCGAGATATTGCCCAAATATTCGGCCGCCGACCAACCGAAATCCGGCCGCCGACTCAGTTTTGGAGGGAAAATGTTCGTGTGGACGTATTTTTTTTACGAAACCGAAAACCGAGAAACGAAAAAGACCCAAAACACTCGGTTTTCGGTTCGCGTGGAAACAGCCTAACATTCCACCTATTGTACCGGTACATATGCCGGTATTGAAAAATTTAGGACCGAACAAAAATGCCCTTGTCGCATGAAGTGGAACGATCCGAAATGTCATGTCCTCCAAAATAGCAGAGTCAGTTGCTGAATGCGCCCTGAGCCACTATAACAAGAATATTTCGAAGGGGAAGCCAAAAGATCAGTCAGAATTTACAGTTTATGCGTCTATTGTTGCACAACAGGAGGACAATTTCTGGGTGGTATCGGCCGCCACAGGTACAAAATGTACTGCTATTCGAAAGCAAGGCTTTGTGCTCCATGACTCGCATGCGGAAATACTTGCTCGACGTGGCTTGGTGAGAGTGCTGTGGCTACAGATCAACGCAATCTCAAAATCTCAATCGTTCTCAAAGGGGCGACTTTTGCTTGAACAAGAACCTTGCAAAGAGAAGTATAAGATCCGTCAAGATATTGCTCTTCATCTATATGTTTCAGACTCGCCCTGTGGTGATGCGAGGTAAGAGTCGACGGCATGGCCTTAGTCTCATACTGGAATTTCGACAAGAACACACAATAACCCGATTTCATTTCACGATGATTCTACCGGTATACCCATGAGCAGCATCTACGGTGCTAGCTCGGGATTTTTTTTCACGGGGGCCAAGATTATTGTTTCTAAAGAGACCGGCGTTACTTCAACTGTATGTGGTGGGGATACTCAGCTCCTTCAAGGTGCACCGATTGCGCGGGAAAACTCACAGCTCTTGAGTAGTTTGAGGTGCAAGTCTGGCCGCTCCAATCTACCGTCACATCTTCGTTCAACTAGCATGTCATGCTCAGACAAAATTGTAAAATGGAGTATACTAGGTCTACAAGGAAGCCTACTTTCTAACCTCTTCAAGGAGCCAGTGTTGCTTTCTAGCATTGTTGTAAGCCAAGATACTCGGATTATCCCTGACACCAACCACCAACTAGAAGCCCTAGAACGAGCGATTCCAAGTAGGGCAAGGGCAGTCTGGAACTACGTTGCTAAAACACACGATACATCTTCGAAATGGCAATGGAAAGATCACATTCCGTCAGTCCATGTGGTTCGGAGTGCTTTCTCTTCAGGTAAATCTGCTCTTGCTACAACTCTTGGAACTCCGTTTACATCTCGGGATGAACCTTCTCGACCCCCACCGTACAAAAAGACAAAGTTGTCATCGGAAGCAAGTCCAAACCGAAAGGTATCTCCTTGTGGATTTGCAATGAATTGGCAGTGCACTGATCCGAATGTACCAGAAATTCTGATTGGAGCGAGAGGAATTCGTCAGGGCAAGAAGCCTTCTGGAAAGAAATTGGAAGAATATCAAAAATTGAGCAGCCGGCTGTCAAGACAGTCACTGCTACAGCGCTGTACGGTGATTTTCTCAACGGACATTACCCAATACCAAGCCCTGAAATCAAACGAATCGGACTCAAATTGGAAGCTGTTAAAGACAGTGATCCTTGATGGTGGTCCATTGTCAGGTTGGCTTCGGGAGCAAGATGATTTCCCTTTGCACCTTACAAGTGAGCAAGGATAACTAGCCCAATCATAGCGGTACATATTTTTCGTCTTCGTTATGATATATGAGACCATCTAATTGCAATCGCGAAATTATCGCTTGCATATCCTTTTTTGTCTTTCGCATGACGAGGGCTAAGTCCTCCATCATCACCCCATTTCCTCCTCGAGATTGAAGGCAAATCATTCGATATACTTCCTCTGCATTCCATTCCAGCGTGGGATATCCAAATCTACGCGAGCTTTTCGATGACGTGTTCGTCAACTCGGCCCATCTAAGATGTTCCATTTCTGGGTCCTCTATAGAAGATAGCGCCTCTGTGTAGAATCTCTTTATCTCTCCATTCTGGCAAAGCTTTGCAACACATTCCACTACGTCCCCAGGATGCACAGACAGCTTCTTTACCATGCTACGAGGAGTCCAAAACCCAATACTCGCCGTGCCGTCGTCAAGTTGAAGCATGATGAACTCGACGTGCTGAGACTTCCTCCCTGGAAATGCCACGCAATGACTTTGGGAGGAGATCGGTTCAATCGACAAAACTGTAGCCAAGATCCGCACTAAACTAGCCCTGGAGTTTGCAATGATGGATCCAGAGTACAAGTCTGAAATGAAACACCGCTTGGGACAAGACATCGCTGTTGTTTGTTTTGTCACGGTGCTTTTATATCATAAAATAAGGTACGAGTACACGAATAATGTTTTGCGTTTTCGAATAACAGGACTCAATGGATGTCATCAATCGATCCTGATTTTCAATTTCAATTCCGATCTCAAAACCACCATCGCAAGAACCATGGTCAACAACCAAACTCTCCGGCAAGAGCTTCAAGTCGCCGCCCAAAATCACGATCCAATTGCGATGGTGCAAGTCGTAAAAATGCCATTTATGCCGAACACGAAGAAAGGAACGAGAACCCAAAAGCATAAACAAGATGCTATGATGGTTGGCGAGACGGACTATGGTGGCTTGTTGGCAGCATTGCTGGACGCCCATTCGGCAGCAGAAGCGGTAAGTAAACGATTCACCTTGTCATTGTTCGGTTTCATTCAGAATGGCTTATTCGATCGCATACTTGATGGACGAATGAAGGGACATGCAGATGACTGGTATGGGGGACAGTCTTCTGTTCATTCAAATTTCAATCGAATTTTTGGTTCTTCAGAAGGGAATTGGCTAGTTCCATCTTTGATATCTATCTGCAAGAATACTCACAGGATAGCCCTTCTCGCCGATCGCGGGGCAGATGGCCCTAGACACCGCAATACCAACTTGCAAAGTGCTGTGCAGTTGTTGCAAGATAGTTATAGCAAGACGTTTAATGATCGAACTGAGTATCAAGTAAGTGCGATACATTGCCTGCTCTTTCTCATTCTCTACCTAGACTCACGCAAAGCTGTGCTAGCCAAGTGCGCCATTTGACACCGAAGGGTCCAAAAAAGCTGGGGTTTTGGCAATTGTCAATGAATTATTTGGGATGTACTTCAAACTCAACATACTGAGACTATGCAAAAACTTGATACGACCAGTTGAGACAAGGAAGTTGAATGAGACTGGAACTATGGGGCAAATGGTGACTTACAGATACTACATTGGGAGATTGAATATGTTTGAAGATCAGCACGCACTTGCAGAGAAAAACTTGGACTTTGCCTTTTTGCATTGTCACCAGGGTTCCCCAAAGAACAAGAGATGCATTCTCAGGTACCTAATTCCAATCAAACTCTATCGGGGTCGTTTACCAACGATGTATTGTAAGTATTCTAATTGGGAATTTGTGGAATGCCATGGTCCTTACTGACACAAGTTTGCTGAAGTGCTTGAGAAATATGGGCTCGAGGAATTCAAACCATTGGTCGATGGGCTCCAGAAAGGAGACCTGCGGGCATTTCAGGATGGCCTTGTGAGATATCAAGATCGCTTTATTCGGTACGTGCAGTGACGAAGTTTGCTGTGGTGATGAATGTACTAGTACTGTAGTCTAATTGTTGTTCAATTCGATTAATATTGCACCATTCAGTCAAGGAACCTATCTATTATTGGAGAAGTGCAAAACAGTCTGCTATCGAAATCTCTTCAAACGTGTTCACAATATACTTGACAAGCACCAGATATCACTGAACCATGTGGCTGCAGCCTTCAAATGGCTTGGACTACCTATTGATCTTGATGAAGTAGAGTGCATTTTGGCCAATCTTATTTTTCGGGGCTATGTTCGAGGTTATCTTTCTCATACCAAACGGGTTTTGGTACTGAGCAAAAGGGATCCCTTTCCCAAATCTGCAATTATCGCCCCGTAGTTATGAGTTAATGTGCCCGTTATTGGACGATAAAAGAGCGATAACGGGGTTTGAATAGTTACAGTGTTGTAAAAGGGAGATAATCAAAATTATAAGCTATTGGTTGGCGATAGCCATTCATTCTAGTCCATTGAGTCAACTCAACACGGGGGATTCAATTCAGTCCCCATGGCCCATGGCACTCTCTGAGTTTCATTGCGTTCCATTGAATACCTATTATCAAATCTTCGTCCAGGCAGTTTATTTGGATCCAAGATGATCCGGGGAACCTTAATAACCCTCATACCTGACTCAGTCAGGAGGACTGCCATTTCATCGAAAGTCATACATCACAATGTCCAGTAATCTGTCTCTCTTCTGTCCGGCTTTGTAGCTAGGTCAGCTGGATTCTTCTCCGACGGGACATGGCCGGTGATCATTTCACCAGCAACGACGGCTTCACGACACGCATGGTATGCAATCAAATTACATTTCTTCTTCAACGTAGAATCAGGTCTTTGTGTGTTGTGAATAACAGACATGTTGTCTCCGTAGGCGTAAGTAGGTCCCTCCATGGGAATTCCCATCATGCGTAGTTTGTATCTGAGTCCCCTCATTTGATCCATACCCTGTGTTAATGCGCAAAACTCCGCCCCAAAGACGCTGGTCTCAATCCGAGCCTGTTTCTTTGAGTGGGCAATCACAAGGGCATTGTTGACATAGATCATGTATCCAGTACAAGAGCGACGGTTGATGTTGTCACCAGCTAAGTCACTGTCAAAATACAGGATGACATCAATGGACTTGCCTCGTGGTTCAGGCGCGTTTGGAGGTATTGGCTCAGGGTACATATCGGCCCAGTTGCATGTCTTGAAGACAGAGTGATCGATCTGTGGGTAGGATGGGTCCATTACAAAAGTAGCATTGTGATGAGCTTTCAGGTAGGCGAACATGTGGAAAATAGATTTGAGGTGTCCTCTGCGGGGAAGAGCAAGGTGAGACGCGAGCATACTAACTTCAGTGATGATATCAATTCTACCAAGTTCGACCATCCAGCGCAAAATACCAACAAGGGATTGGAAATACGATGCTTCCTCTCCTTCAAGTTCTTCTGTCATGTCAAGTTCAGGACGGTAGTTGTTCGGTAAGGGTGATCTGGCTCTGGATCCTTTCTTCAATGTGGTCCCATGGTGTTCCTCTAACACAAGTTTCACGTTCTCTTGTACATATCTGCTCGGACTCAAGGAATATGCAACAACCCCGTTCTTCAGAGTGGTAGTTCGGAACTTGGCCCCTAGGTAGATATCAGGATCGCCAACAGAGTCTGGTTTCAGCGTGAATGCCTTGTCGATTTTCTTGAGCGCTCCCATAGCATCGTGGTGGATCATTAATATGTCGTCAACGTAGAGCAGTGCGTAGGCGTAGTATTCAAAACCATCGTCAGGTCTTGTCATTGGCATGTAGTATATGTCAGGGTCGGCCAAGCAAGGTTTCCATCCCAGATTTTACATATACTCCGAGAGGAATGTTCTGTAGTCATGCCCAGCGGCCCGTAATCCATATAATGCGCGTACAACAATAGCTTTGCGGCCTTCGTCCTTCCCAAATTCACGGCCACAAACTGTCCAAATCTTTTCAATGACGAGAGGCGCTGTCAAGTAGGCATTCTGGATGTCAGCAGCTTTGACTTCCAATGCATTTAAAGCGGCAAGTGTTAGAGCAATTTGGACAGATTCACGAGATACAACACTCAAGTAAGTTACGCTAGGACATGGTGCCTCAGTCATGGGGCCACCAGCAACCAGTCGGCATTTCCGGCGGAGTGTTTCCATTTTGACATCAAAAACGATGTGGCACTTGATTTTGGTGTGCCCAACTGGTGCTTTGTCTTCCTCGTTGAGCATCTTGAAAGCCACACAAACATTGCTCATCTCCTTCCCAAGGGCCTGTTCCCACAAGTCGTTGCCATTGATTCGATCAAGTTCACGGGCTTCTTGGACTGTTTTGGGAACTCTGATGCCAAATTTGTGTGTTCGCTTGTGGTATTGGCTCTTGACCTTGACAATAATTGCATTTTGTTTCTTCAAGATGTATGGAACCCACCACTTGAATGCGGGTAGGTGATCTATTCCAGTTGCGACGGAAAACTCAGCAACCTCACTGGGGAAAGATTCTTTGAGATCAGACAGTCGCTCCCAAGTAGTGGTACCGTCCTTCCATTGGACACAAAGCTGCCATCCTTTTGTTGTACGTTTCTGGACAAGTCGTCCATGGTATCGGAATCTGTTGTTGCCAGGTTGGATTGCAGTCTTGTCTGTCTTATGGTCAATGATGGAGTCGAGCAGGAGGAATTGATTGCCGTTCTCATCACATTGCAGGTACATTCCCTCAGCAAGTACGTTTGCTGCATAAGTGGCTTTGGCCCCATCAGGGAATTCAACGGTATATGTGCGAGTGTCCAGCATTGGGACAGCATGCCCATTTCCTCTAAGACTTCCGTCTGCTTCCCTCTTTCGTCCAGTGACCTTTCCAGTTACCATCTTGTCCCCTCTAGCAAGCAGCACTTCAGCATTGAGGTATAGATCATAGTAGTCGTGCTGCTGCTCATCCCTGTCAGGCATTAGATCCAATCCTTCTCCAGAATCATCCTCATAACGGTCATATGTAGGGGTGAGATCGTCCTCACTGAAATCTTCAGGCTTTGCCTTGTCACCCAACTTGTCATTCACATTGGTATTGAAGTCATTACCTAGGCATTTCTTGGCGGCGTCAGCCATTTCTTCGGATGTTAGGGCTCTGAAGGTGGAGGTGTGGTGGTAGTTCCCGTTGTTCTTAAGGATCTTTCCAGTCAAGAGGGATCCGATTCCAGGACTTGGTCCCAAGCATCGTCCAAGGGACATCTTATCATCAGGGAATTTTGCAGTCTCATCGTAGTATTTTACCCATTGATACCATTGGAAATCACACCATGGACCAATATTTGCAGTCTGTCCAGTCATAACAGTCTCCGGCACCTCCCCATCCACGTTGTATATGTTAAGGGCGGTGTGAGATCGCATGTAGGCCCGATGTTCCAAACAATCATCTCATAGCCTCTTTGTTGGGATATGACGAAATATGAGTTTTTACGTTCCAAACGAAACTATTCAAGTACGAGGTTTTCGACACGTGCGATCGGACTTTGATAGTGATGTCGGGATTCGACGCAAGTCTGCCGGACGCAAGTCTGTCGGACAATCTGTATCCACACAAAAAGGGAAAGACCCTATACAAGTGGAATATGGATGTTGTGTACGATGCAGTAGGGAATAATGCAAGATGTCCCAAAGTACTGCATTCAACACAGAATTGTCGTAGAAGTCGAATCAAGTTCTGTAAACAAGGGATTTTCCAAGGGAAAATCGTTGAACTCACTTTTGTGATTGAATCATCAATTCAAGCCAAACATTAATCAAATAGGAACGATTTCACTCAAAGTATACCTAGACACAGGAGAACTATTGTCGTGAAAGTGTTGTACAGTCGATTACGAATTTAGATTGCAGAGAGTTTGTTCTGAGCGCAAAGGGCACTCACGATAGAGCACATTTTGCTTTATTCTAACATTCAATCACAAAAGACCAGCCAAATAAAGGTAAAGGTAAAGGTAAACCAAACGACGATAAGAAAAAGGCAGCATGTTATGTATGTGGCAAAGAGGACCATATGTCTCCAAAATGCCCAGACAGACTGCTACCAGAGAGTCAATGGAAGCATCCGAAGCACTATGTTGATTACGGGAAGAAGCTCAATCTTAATCAGATTGGAGCAACTGTCCCAACTATAGCTATAGTTCCTGGAACTTCTCCAGCGACAAGTGTTATCACTGGTACAACATTGAGTGTTGCGGGGAGTGTTGCGGGAAGTGTTAACACACCTTTGCGACTTGCTGCTACTACAGGTAATCAAATGATACAAGTTCCTACAGGCAATCAAATGATGCAAGTTCCTTCGGGAATGCAGCTCATGCAGATTCCAACTCAAGGTGGCGGCACTGTTACTGTCCCTTATTCTATGAATGCTAACGGTGAGATTGCGTTCAGTGGAATGCAACTCAACCAACAAGGCTTCTGTGGTGCTCAAGTGCGCCAAGGATTCGCTGCAACTCAAGCTCGAACTCCGCAGGTCGTGAAGACTAGCTATTTTGATAGGTCAAATGTCTTCCACGATGCTATCAAGGGAAAGGATGAGAATGGCAATGATGTCTATCTTATTCCATGTCCTGCTGGAACGACTAACGTCAAACTTCAATCCGACTGGCACTACACTAGTAAAAGTGAAGACTTGCCTGATCTTGCTACTGAAGCACATCAAGGTATGCAGTTTATTCAAAGCCGCAGAATCGAAAGAGATCCGTTTGGTTTGCTTGATCACGTCATCATGGACAGTGGTTGCACCAACACCACCATTTGTAACGGTGAACTCGTGCATGGACTACGTCAAGCTGAGAAAGAGCTCGATATGCACACTAACGTGGGCAGCAGAGTTCTCGATGAAGAAGGGTTTCTAGGAAGATTTCCGCCTCAAGTCTATTATGATGAAGACGGAATTGCCAATGTACTTGCTATGCGCGAGATGATTGCTGCGGGATACCGCATTACCATGGATACTGATTTTGACAATGCCTTTGTTGTGCATTGCGATGGAGACAGACAGATGCGATTTGTGAATCCTAAGGGTGCATATGTGCTAGAGCAACTTGGAGCGGATGTCAAACCAGGTGCCAAAGAGACAAGTGCGATGTATCGTTGCCAGTTAAGCAGCGTAAATAAACAACCCCATTTCGAACTTTCTTCAAAATAGAATGGATATGCTGGACTCGGGATGTGTTGGGATATGACGAAATATGAGTTTTTACGTTCCAAAAGAAGCTATTCAAGTACGAGGTTTTCGACACCTGCGATCGGACTTTGATCGTGCGCTATGTCGGGATTCGACGCAAGTATGCCGGACGCAAGTCTGTCGGACAATCTATATCCACACAAACAGGAAAAGATCCTGTACAAGTGGAATATTGTTGTTGTGTACGATGCAGTAGGGAATAATGCAAGATGTCCCAAAGTACTGCATTCAACACAGAATTGTCGTAGAAGTCGAATGGAGTTCTGTAAACAAGTGATTTTCCATGGGAAAATCGTCGAACTCACTTTTGTGATTGAATCATCAATTCAAGCCAAACATTAATCAAATAGGAACAATTTCACTCAAAGTATACCTAGACACAGGAGAACTATTGTTGTGAAAGTGTTGTACAGTCGATTACGAATTTAGATTGCGGAGAGTTTGTTCTGAGAGCTAAAGGCACTCACGATAGAGCACATTTTGCTTTATTCTCACATTCAATCACAAAAGACAACAAAACAAATTTACGTCAAGAACAGCACTGCCTTATCTACAAAGGAGTGAGTGATTCGTTGACTCGATGTTAGAATAAAGCAAAATGTGCTCTATCGTGAGTGCCTTTAGCTCTCAGAACAAACTCTCTGCAATCTAAATTTGTAATCGACTGTACAACACTTTCACGACAATAGTTCTCCTGTGTCAGGTATACTTTGAGTGAAATTGTTTCTATTTGATTAATGTTTGGTTTGAACAAAAGTGAGTTCAACGATTTTCCCTTGGAAAATCCCTTGTTTACAGAACTCCATTCGACTTCTACGACAATTCTGTGTTGAATGCAGTACTATGGGACATCTTGCATTATTCCCTACTGCATCGTACACAACATCAATATTCCACTTGTACAGGATGTTTTCCTGTTTGTGTGGATATAGATTGTCCGACAGACTTGCGTCCGGCATACTTGCGTCGAATCCTGACATCACGCACGATCAAAGTCCGATCGCAGGTGTCGAAAACCTTGTACTTGAATAGTTTCTTTTGGAACGTAAAAACTCATATTTCGTCATGTCCCAACAGCTATGGATCATGGACATCCAATTTCCCCCGCAAATACTGGTGATCATTACCCAGATTCGGATGTTTAATTAAATTGGGATATATGAAATAAATTAGACTTGAACTATTTTAAAATATTTGATATTGCAGGCCTCACTTGAAAAGGCAACACTGTGGCTCATTTCGATTGATTTGTTTCACGTCATGCTTGCGCGCGAGCCAAGAATTCTCTATTTTTTTAGTTCTCTTTCCCATCATGATGCCTACGAATTTGTATGCAAATTGAAAATAAAATTTTTCCCAATACAGGGACGTCACTATGATGAGAACTGGCTGATATTTGGACATGTTGCTTGCACTGTCTTCAATGGCGTGCCTCCCCATGTTTGCTTCTTGAATGGATTACTAGAGGAGTCTGAAGAAGCAGCCGCACAACCTTCCACTGCTTCGGCACGAGCTTCAACTCCACTTCTGATGCTGCAAAAAGGCCTGCAAGAGCTGGATTACTAGAGGAGTCTGAAGAAGCCGCACAACCTTCCACTGCTTTGGCACGAGCTTCAGCTTCCACTTCTGACGCTGCAAAAAGGCCTGCAAGAGCTTCCCCTTCTGTTGCTGCTGTTGCCGCCAAACCGCCACCACCACCACCACCACCTTCCACTTCTGCTGCAGCAAAAAAGCCCCCACAATCTCCATCCACTGAATCCAAAGAGCCAACATTGGACTATGGGGAGCCATCTACAGCTGTTGCCGCCAAACCGCCACCACCACCACCACCACCTTCCACTTCTGCTGCAGCGAAAAGGCCCCCACAATCTCCATCCACTGAATCCAAAGAGTCAACTTATGACTATTGGAAGCCGTCTTCACCAAAGAGAACAAGAAGACCAGACAGTCAGGAGGGTCAGCGAAGTTGGGCAACACAGCTGAGAATGAAGAAGGAGCTGCAAGCTATCCTTGCAGTTGACGAGTCTGAAGAGGTTAGAGAAAAGTTTGATGAAGTTCTCGGTAATTTTGACAAGAAATTGTTGCAACCCAAAGGACGTCGAGAATCAGCTAGGCAGTTCCAGAATCGAACTGAAAAGGCTAGAAGCGAGTACAATCAGGCATTGAAGGATCAATATGGCCCAGTAGACCACAATGTTTCAGAATTCTTAACAAAACATAACATTCAAGCGCCAAACCCACAAAAGTGCGATACTACCGAAATTTGGAAGATCAGATATGAGCCACCCAATACAGACAAAACCGAGCCCACATTCAGGCTTATGCTAGGATCTCGAACAAAGAGCAGGATTTTTGTTTCAAATGTGACAGTTGCCTATGTCAAACATTATCTTGGTAAAGGATTTGTTGAAAAATGCATTGCTTATGGAGAAAGGTGTTCTTCTAGGGGTATTAATCAACCCTCATTCTTTGTTCCACTGGGAGATAGCAACTTGGATGTTGCCCCGAACCACTGTCTTCTCAAATTACAAAAAAATGGGGACCAGATGAAAATGCTTCCCTATGTTAAAGGCAATAACAATTGTTGCCTTGGTTTTTCTCTGGCAAATGCTCTGCACTACTTGAACTTCCACAAGGAGTCATGGAAACTATATCAACAATCACACGACTTGAGTGAACTGGATGCAACCGCTCAATTCAAATGGCTCTTAGCTTGGGTGCAGGTCTCTGTTGAAGGAGTGGCCCCATTATCCTTGAAGGAGTCCAAGGAACACTTTGATGGGATGGTGGGAGTCACCAAATGCTTGAAGTCTTTGGCACAACAAGAGCTTGTTGTGTTCGTTCCTAAAGTGAAGGATGGGACGAATACTCATGCAGTAGCATGCACTCATGGCTTGATATTTGACTCCACACAGAAGTACCCAATGAAACTGTGTCGTGATAGTTTAAGCTTCATTGCCGGTTCTGCTGGTTTTGGTGGCATTTGGCGTTCCCGTCTTTTCACATTCAGCAAGGCACTGAAAGGACAGGTATCGAAGATTCAAAATTAGTGAATACAGAGATTAAATTTGTACTTGTTGCTATTTTCCACTTTTTCTCCGCTTCTTTCGATGGTATGTATCCTGGTAACTTTTCTTGCAAGTTTCTGTGTTCAGGGAAAACGATACCATGTCTTGTTGTCCATTTGTTGCTCCAAGGAATGTGCGTTTTTGGCTTTTTTTCATGGCCATGGCTTTCCTCTGGAAGAGCTCCTTTTCAATTGCCTCCATTTGTTCTCTAACAAAATCCAGGTCTCTCTGATTCATACAATTACGGTCAATGTCTTTAAATTTTTGAAAATTGTATGCTCTTGATTTTTGACATAGTTCTTTTGGTTGTTGAAGGCAAAGCTGGTTCACGTTGAAGGCAAGTGCGGCATCGTCTCCCTGTTCATCATAGTCGCTATTGTCATCCTGTCCAAAATTGCTATTGCCATAGTCTGCTGGTGAACATGTCTCAACAGTGTGGTATGCATTTGTTCGCAATGGAGAGGGGTAGAACTCGTTGTTATTGGGATATTCACTCAGTGTGTAGTTCCAACAACGTGGAGTAGGACTTAGATATACATCCACAAGTTCATCAATTGTTGATTTGCAACATGTTGCCTTTGTAAATACAGAGGGAAAGATAGCAGTTTGGTCTATGCTTAAGATATTGTCCAACAAAGATGGCGTCTTCACCACTATCCCAAAATGTTCCCTCTTTTGCAGCTCGACGAAACTTTGGGTGATGGCCTCATGTCCCTCTTTGTATGCATAGAAGGAATAATCTGACCTCCAGCAACAAGCAAAATTGTTGATGTCGTACTTCCTTTCCACGGCTAACAAGTGCCTACAGGGAATACCATACTGATGTACCACCAGGCATTGCTTTGGCTCTCACAAACTTAGAGCACACTGCTTTGATAGCTTTTGCTTCTATGGCCTCCCGCTGGTTGTGAATGAACTCAGTGCGTGTCAATTGGTCCGTAACAGTCAATGTGGACGTGAAACGGCACAACTGTTGCTTTATCATTGGAGCTGCGGCAGCATGAACTGCTTGTCGCATTGCGGCTAGACCCCCAGGACCCATTGGGGGTGGACTTACAATTTGGAGAGGAGTAGGTTTTCTCATCTTGTCCTTCGTAGGTGTTGCCTTTTCATTGGGTCTCGATTGGCTGAAGTGGGATAGTACTTTGGCTCGTTGCTTATGTTGCTGTGCCAAAATGAAAAGGGATCTGTTTCTATCCCTTGAAACCATGGAATTCCCTTCAACCAGTTTGTCCACACTTAAGTTTGCAACATTGGTAGGTTGCACAATAGAATGCAAGTCCTCCCTCTGGGTAATTGGGTCCGCTGAAATAGATGGGTTGTGGCTAGTAGCAACAGGATTGTCTCCAGGCACTGGACTTCGTATGGTGTTTGAATACGTCAGGTTTCTCATCACAGTCTTAGTATTTGGCAGTGGATTTGTCTTAGACCTTCTGCCCTTTGGGTTACTGATAGTGCCCTGAACTAGGTCTCCATTTGTTGGTGTCATCTCATAGGATAGGACGGTATAGTGCAGATTGACCTCTGGATTCCCCGCCTGGGTTTGCAACCACTGTATAAAGTCTGCGGCAGACGAGTTTGCTCCATTGGCAGCTTTGGCTGCAATGTATTCTGGTGAAGTTATCATGACAGATCGAGTTGCAGACCTAGAAACATAGCCATGCTTCAACTCAAGAAGCATCTTCCGAGATTGCGTACCTGTAACTGCTGCCTTCTGTTGGGCACAGACTATTTGTCGAGCTTCTGCAGTGAGGTTGTGTGCTTTTATTGGTAACTCGGCTGCAGGTTTGGCATGGTATTTGTGGAGGGTGTCTCCTTTACAAGAGATGTAGATATAGGATTGATCACCTGCCTTTTTACTGCTATGAATACGTAGTCTTAGTCTGCAGGAGCACAACTTGTCTCCTGTAATGTCCTTTGAAGTGTGCGTAGCTCGGGGACAGGTTTGGCCATCTGGACAATTTCTCAAACGATTGTGATGGTAGGACTTGTGCCGGTATTGGAGAAGGACTCCTTTTTCATTGAATTGCTCCAAGTCCTGTAGTTTTGTCCCTTTGTATGGCTTTGATCTATAACAGGTCAACCATCCTTTTGAGGCATCATAGGTAAATTCACTTCCATGCTTTAGGCCAATTAGTTTCAAATGGTGAAGCAAATCTTTGAGGCCTTGTTTTGTAGGTGGCCATTGTTTTGAATCGAATCTTGCTTTTCTTGTTTCAATATCATTCGTCACAAATGCGAACAAGTCAGCGGATTCACCGTCATAATCAACAAGACCATCAAATGGGAGCTTGGCAGGCCATGTTTGAGCTTCAGCAACTCTGAGTTGCAGTCCTTCTTCTACTTCCTCTTGGGTGAGATTTGACGCATTTTCCGAAGGCATTGGAAGCAATGGGGGGGGAAATGGCAGGAGTTTTGTGTTGGTCTTCTAGGAAAATTGTTTTTGTTACTTTGATGATTTCGGCCAAGTCAATTTTGGCGCCAATGCTGGTGCAAATCCATAGTCAAAGGAGTCGGTCTATAACAAGGTCTACAGTCATTCCGCCGTCGGAGCCATCCAATATTGCATAGAGCTATCAAGGCAGGCGCGCGACCGGCTGGCAACATTTGGGAGAGTCTTATCTGCTGGAATATTAGTTTTGGACCCTGAAATAGTTAGGATCCCCTTAAATGATGAACATACATTGTTGAGCTAGGCATATTCAAATAGACAGCAGTTAGATGTTGGAACGACATTCGGATCAAGCTTACTCCATTACAACTATAGACGTAAGGGCACACTGAATAGGAAAAACGTTCAAGTGCCAATATTGTGGGGGGTCGACCAAAAGGGTGGGTGGTTGGCATCAAAAAAATTTCAAGCGAATAGTCACGATAACTTCAGATGTACTTTCTGAAGCCTGAAACCAATAACCAGTGCACTTGTCCTCGTGTTGTTGCGTATCATAGCTTGAACACCACTCGAGTAGAAAAAGCAATGAGAGTTACGTCCCTCTCGCTCTTGCTTCGTGGCCAATATTCAACCCGTAGCGACCAGCGGACAATACAGTACCAGCGGTACCAATATTCAACGCACGTGCAGTTAATTCGGGAATCTCCATGTGGTCCCGTCATCTCAATGTTCGTCAGCGTTCGTCTGCCAATCGAGCGGATGCAAGAGAAGAATTTGATAACCCCGTTTCACACCAATCCGAGGGGAGAGCTGGTTTTAAAAAAAATTATATGGTCGGTTTGGTCGAATTTACAGACGAAAACCTCTCAAGCTGTTGTTTGCGCCCATCGAACTTCTCCCCGCATGCCTTTTCAACATACCGGTAGCCTTCATCATTCGAGAGCAAATCCCGTCGTTCTGAATCGTTTTCGAATGGGCCGTTATCTTTCAGTTCAAGTACTTTCGGTACTGCCTTGCGATCTTTAATAAAACACTAACAGTTGAATCGAGGGCCATGGCTACGCCGATTCCTCTTTTTGTCCCAAACTTGCTCTGCTACTTGAGGATAATCTTGGGCTTCTCCGGCTTATATGTATCCCATTCAATGCCAATTCTGGCTGTATTCTTCTGGGTAGCTTCTGCAATTTTGGATGCTTTTGATGGGTATTTCGCTAGAAAGCTTGATCAGTGCTCATCTTTAGGAATAGTTCTTGATATTGTGGCTGACAACATTTTGCGGACCGTGGTGTGGCTTGCCGCTGCCATTCAAGAGCCGGCGTCGTATAGCCTTGCAGCTAGTGTATTTATTTCTTTGGAATGGACAACAATGGTGTGCACTCAGCTGCATGCTGTTGAAAGCAAATCTCACTGGAAACAATCTAGAGGGAATGATCCAATTTTCGTCCGCAGTATGTTTGCCAACAACTTTTTTTCTGTCTATGGAGGATTTTGCATTTTTGGTCTATTCACTGCCAATATCTTTGCGTACGCAACCCATTATCCTGTGTTTGCAAATCTCATTCCTTACTTTCATCACTTGAAGTACGCCGCCTATTGCGGCCGGTGTTGCACAGCTTTGGCCGAGTTGTGGCTTTGCAAGTCTTACGTATCGCTTTTGATAGACAGGGATTTGAAAGCAATGTCTGATTAGGCGCTTATAAGTCATAAGCTATTTTTGGTGTACATCGTCTTTCTATCCATTATAACAAATAAGTTCGAATTCAAAATGCACTGGCAAAGTCATATCCCTGGCGGATTTAGATTCCAACGGGTCAAATGAGTTGGACGAAACACCCGGCTTCCGTGGATGTGGTACAGGAGAAATCGTTAGTGGAGATACCGGAGCTTCCGTTGGTGCCGCACGATCGTTTCCGAGGGTTCAGGTCCCGGGGGTTCACGACATTACAAAGGCGATCTTGCCTTGAAGACCAGATGGGTTTAAAGTGCTCCACAATCTCACAGCTCAAGATTCCTGATGCGTGCCGCACAATCATTCGCTTCCAAGTTATGAGGCGCATTCCTTCAGCCTCGTCATGGTGGCAAGGAGAGTCGCCACACCAGCACTTGCCACAATTGTGCTGGCCAGGAAAATCGTTTCCCCCAGTTTCAGAAGCAAGAATGCATGGTTGTTGCGAATACTTCCCTCCGGATCCAAATCTGTACAGGAGCCTTTGCTGCCATCTAACAGTCAGAAGGCAGGTTGTAGCCATTGCATTTGGTGAAACTTTCCTGCCAAAAACATCTAGAACGCCCTTGGGGGATAAATGCTGATTCATCTCTGGATTTCAGGCTTCTTGTCGCTTTATGCTGTCGGTATCGTCTCGATATGCTGTCGATATGCTGTCGGAATTCTTCTTCATTGGGACATTTCAAATATAGGAAGTCGCCTATTTTTCGGACTGTCCCGCCGTCCAAATTCGTTCCACGGGAGCTGCAGTATCCTTCCAGTTGTCGTCGAATCCGAGATATGACATAAGATGCTCCATCACTGAATCGACAGAAGCCTTGATAACAAGAGCTGCATGCTCATCTTTCGGTGTGACTTGTAGATTGACAATGACAAACTTGCTAGCACGCAGTGGTAGACTTCCTACTGGTTCAATCCGTAAAGATGTCCCTAAACAAATGACCAAATCGGCCTTTTCACATTCAGCCTCGGCTCGTTGGAAATCTGCTTCTGGAAGTGCATCCTCCCAATCGAGGAGTGTATCTAGCAATTTCTCATTGCAAAGGGTACACCTTCTACCAGTTGGTTGAAAACTCATCCCTCCAATATCGAAGTCACGAAAGAATTCTGCACGGCAGTCTGAACTCTCGCATTTTTCTGTAAACGCACAACCGTGTAGCGAGCAATGCATGTTTCGCACTAGGCCGGCTCTTCGATGCAAGCCGTCGACGTTTTGTGTGATTAGGTATTTGAGTTTGCCGTCTATTGCAAGCCTGGTTAATGCTTTGTGAGTAAGGGTCGGTTGCGCCTTGGAAAATTCCATACTAGTAGAATCACTATCAATTGGATGTTTGGTAAATGTGCTTTTCTTGATGTGCCTCTTGTCACTACTCTCCAGCTTATGTTGGTCATGTGTGGTGTGTGAATGTTTCCGTTTCCGATTGGGGTTAGGGTTTGGTTTAGATTGTCTGGATTTCCGTTTCCGATTATTCTCCTTCTTTTCCAAAGTCCATATCCCCTCAGGTCCACGAAAGTCGGGAATCCCGGCACTTGTGCTTATCCCCGCTCCCGTCACAACCACTAGATGTTTAGAATCCCGAACGAGCTCGGAAAGTTTTTTCAATTTCAAGTCTCTCTGACGCTTCGAGTCGAAACTTTCAGGTAAGCCCACGATTCCCTTGTTCGGATAGGAAGATAATCTAGATGCATACCCGGCAGACATTTGCAGATTCTTTTCTCTTGCAAGTGATAGATTTCAGCAGTGACGGAGCAACGACAAATGTTGAAGTTTGTTCTTGCTCATTCTTTCCGTTATTGCAGCAACGGTGCGGTGCTATGACCGTGTTTAACGTGATGTGTTTAACGTGGATTTGGACCTATCAAAATACTTCCACGTTTTTAAAACACACCCTTGGGTGAACGCAGTGCAGACGTCGATTGTCAAACACCAAAACCTCATCACCATGACAATTAACCGATCGGGCATCGGGGGGGATAGCCCCGTCCCGGGGCTATCCCAAATTTTACGGATACGAAATAAATGTACCACACACTCGTAGATGTAAATGTTCAACATCATCAAGTTTTTCGTCCTGATCGAGCGAAAGTGCCTAGTTCTAGCCATCAATTGCCTTCACCACCAGACTGAAGCTACAAATTAGATCTGAACTACCCAATTCTCCATAAGGAATAACGATCTTTGGATTGGAGCTTTCGATGGACCAATTTTGGACTTTGCAAAAGGGACGGCGCTCCAGAAAATATATCAATCTCAAGCATGATGGGGCTCTTGTTGACACCCATTGGAAATGAGACAATGTGGCTCCTGTGATACTGATGAGTTTTGTTGTGTTCCCTTTCCTAGACTTTATATTGGGGAATAAAACCCCGAAGCTCGTTTCATTTTGGAGCAGGATGAAATGCACTGATTTCATCACAATTTGCATCCGACACGAACGATTCATAATGTGTGCGGTAGATGCAGATTCAAGCACAGAGCACACTCCCTCCGCTCATCATGCATACTTAATCTCTTAGGATAGTGGGTTGGAAGGATGATATAAGATGGGACTACTCCCAAATGCTCCCTCTTGTGGATGAGTGGATTCAAAATGTGCTTGATCAGATGTTGCTTCATCTGCAGGAGGTTTGTCGCACTTTCACCATCCAATGTATTGGGACAAGGAATAGGGATATCTAAATAGTAAAAATATTCATTATGCAGCAACGGCTGGGCTATGGGTCCGAGTCTAGGAGGCCATGGAGCCGAATTTTGCACAACAGATGCTTCATATTAGAATGGTCGACTTCAGCCATTTGATTCTTGCATAAGGAGCCAAAATAACCTCTATCTAATGTATTTAGACCTATTGCAATCCGGATGCGCCAATTTCACTTTCCAGCAAGTGTATAGTCGGCATCCAAAGTCATAGTGTATACTGGCTTGTGCTCTTTCAGCTTTGGTGACTCGGACGTCAAAGCCAATGCAACAAGATGCTACAATCAAAGTTCCACCCCATCTCAGTCTTTTTACAGGTATTTACCCTTCTCAAAATCTATTGGTCGGTGTATTTAAGGATTTTGGCTAGTGCCTGATCATTTGCAAATGCTTGATATGTGTTTGGCCAAATTTGTATTCGCAACAACATACTCATAGGCAGTCCTTTGCTTTCTATCGCCGAGTCTCTTCCAAGTATATCATCATCTAAAGTTACTAGTATATTCTAGGAGAAATGGGTACCTCATAGCACTTGCATGCCTCCTCCAATTATGGAGAGCCAAATGATTGCTCATTGTATTCAACGAAATAGACAGTTCCTCGTTGAAGGACCCCACCACCCAGCTCATCAATCCACTTTAGGAATTCTGTACCAACCAATCCAAAGTCTGGTTCATTCCTCAACATTTCATCACTTAGCCGTGTACATTTTCATTGTATGCAACACACTGTAGTGGTTTCACAATTGGTGCGGATAAAGTACTGGAAAAGTTTCCTAGCAATGCTGTAGTGTTGGAGCTGAAAGCTCAACAATCTCATCTGCTTATCTCGAAAAGCAAGTAGTTTCCAGCTCAAAGATAATATAGGAGGGATTCGAAGTTGCCACAGTTTGATTGTTGCCTTGACGTCATCATCGAATGTTGGCTTGACTTTTTCCTTGGAAGTTTGGCAGCAAGTTTTGGGTTCGCATGGGCATTTTGAAAAATTCTTTGTGCACTCGATCTTCACACATATACTGCATTTGGGCAAATTGTTTGGTTCCCTCTTGGGTTGCATTGGTGCAAATTTGAAGTGTGCGGAGGTTGTTGTTGACGAGCAATGGTCGACGGACCAAGCGTGCACGATTTTTGGCGAGGTGTTGAATTTTGGTCATTTTGGTCAAAATGAAAAATTGGCACAGCTTCGGCCAGTCATCATCACTGCCAACAATATTCAAGGATAATCTAGTAGACAACTAAGAGAATATATATTCAAAGCTGCATTGGTAAATTCGTCTTTTATCATAGTCATCTCATTGCTTGAAGTTGAAGTTTGGGGGGGGATAGCCCCCTAGGGGGCTATCTGACCCCCGATCGGTTAAACTCTACACTGGCTTAGAATTAGATTGAATTTTGTGGTCGGATGTTAATATATTGTACTTTACCTAGTTATGAGATGTTATGGGAGAAAATTGTTGCCTAGATACAACTGGAAACCCGCTCAGCGCCATTCTTACTCCTGATGGGCACCAACAGTGCACAACCATTCAGCCATGATCTGTAGATTTTCGTCATCTTTGATTTGCCAGGCGGGTTGTCACATTCCCCCTTACTCTTCCATGTATCATCTTTAAGCGCTATTTTGAGGAAGCATGCTGGCTTGTAGGTATCAATCATTGGAGAATTGTCGCCAAGCAATTGCTGCTGCTACCCCTGAAACCTTGTATTGCATCAGCTACAGTCGCAAGTGCTTTTGTATGCTGTGCATTCTTGGTATCTCACACAATTCGCCTGAAAGTTCCCCAGTTCTGTTTTCTTTCACTCTGCTCACTTGATGACAGGCAGCGCCCATGCTAATTTGCAAGCCAACTAGAAGATGGACAAAACAACCTCATTTCATTTGTCAGAAATATGAGAATACAACTAGCTGTGGGTGCCTCAACGCCCCTAGTTCTTGATTTTCTCCTGAAATAGGATCTTCGGCGGCTAGGGCATTAGCTCCTGTACCAATAACAATCTATCGATACTATAGCAAACCATACATCAGTATTACTATATTAATTCATATCCATTTAGGATTCTGTTCGGATTGTGAGCTGAATCATTTTGCCTTCAGATCTGGAAAGATTCACAGATCCCAATAGGATTCGCGTTGCTCTTTCCCTAGACCTCCGTATCGATTCAACACAGAGTGTCAAAAGGGATAAAATGTCCTATTTTGCTTCCATATGAATTGAATCCCCTGTGTTGAGTTGACTTGATGGACTAGAATGAATGGCTATCACCAACCAATAGCTTATATAATTTTGATTATCTCCCTTTTACAACACTGTAACTATTCAAACCCCGTTATCGCTCTGTTATTGTTCAATAGCAGGCACATTCACTCAGTTTATTAGACCCAACGCTGCTGTATTGCTTGATTGCAACACCAGCTCACCTGCCTGCAATGGCAAATGTCCAAGTCTGTGGGAGACTTCAAAAGACCTGTTGGTCGACATGTCAACGTCAGGATACCTATTGCTGAATTACACCTTGTTATGATCGACTATCATACAATGGGTGCGCATAGGATACATTTCATTCTATGAAGTGTAAGATCAGACCATATCCAACCTTGAGGGGACGCTTTCAAAGGTTGGAGGAGGGAGAGCCAAAGGCGCAGCTCGTTTGGAGGGAGAAAGATCTGCGATTTATTTATATATTAGCGATCTCAATCCGCCAAAAGGCCCACAGGACCGTTTAACATAAATCCGTTATTATATACGCCGACTCGCGCGCAGGCCAAACAAACGTTCATATCATTCACCAAAACCCACACAAAATTTATCTGTGGTGACAGAAAATCCATTTTCAAAACAAAACATCAGTTCCAACTCACAACAAACCCTATCCAATTCAACCATGGCCAAACCAGCAATCCTGCGCCAACTCTCTGTCCGAATTGGCCTGACTCAAGCTGTTGCCGATACTATTGTGGACGATCACAATATGAACAGTACCGCAACTCTGACCAAGATCAAGCCTGACACTGTCAGCAAACTTGTCAAGACCCTTTGACACCCAGGAGGCGGTGGGAATGGCCACGCAATCCCATTCCTAGTGAAGCAAGACATCACTGATGTCGCATGGCTCCTCAAACATTGTGTCTGCACCTCTCGCGATCCAGATGTTCTAATCATTGGCTGGCCTACCTGTCCTAACTGAAGAACTTGAGATCTACAGAGATCATGAAGAGCAATGGACCTAACCTAGTTCTCTCAATATCAAAATCACCTGCAACAACTGGAACAAAACTTTCCATACCATTGAAGAATCCCTTACAAACTTCAAAGGTGTCCACGGTTGCCCTTTGAGCTATACTATTCGTGTTGAAACTGCCATTCCAGCTGATCCGGATCCATTAACCAACTATGCATCAACTGAGGACAAAATTATTGCACGTGCCCCTATTGTAAACGCCCAAGGAGACTTTGTTGCCACATTCCAAACCGACAATACCACCCTCTGGAAACTTTTGAGTGCGCTATTCAAAGACACTGTTGAATGGACTGACATCAAGCACTGTGCCAGAACCAAGGACGGAAGAACTGCATTTCTTGACCTAAAATCCGTACGGCTTGGGGCCCAATACACCAACAATGTCTCGGCCAAAATTGAGAGAAGATGGTCAGCTTTAACCTACGCAGGACCAAAACGCAACTGGACGTTGACGATTACGCCCGCAACCCCTCCTCCTTGCCGAACTTGATGACTACCAAGAACCTGACAAGCAAACCAGAGTCCGCAAGCTCATTGATCAGATTGTCACTTGAGAGCTCGATGTTAGAATAAAGCAAAATGTGCTCTATCGTGAGTGCCTTTAGCGCTCAGAACAAACTCTCTGCAATCTAAATTTGTAATCAACTGTACAACACTTTCACGACAATAGTTCTCCTGTGTCAGGTATACTTTGAGTGAAATTGTTCCTATTTGATTAATGTTTGGCTTGAATTGATGATTCAATCACAAAAGTGAGTTCAACGA